GTGCCACCACACCTGATTTAGAGACCCTGTCTCTAAAACAAAAACAAAACAACCCTCCCCATCACACACACACAAAATCTCAGGTGTTGCTCAGACACTCAAGAGCTGGCAGGGGAGGATCAAAAGTGAAGATCATCCTCGGCTACATAGTAAAGTTGAAGGCTGTCTGAGTTATGGCACCATGTCTGCCTGAGTGTGTAAGAACAGCCAGGCCCAGGGCAGTATAATCCACAATACTCAGGGGCAGAGGCAGGAAGATTGGCAGTTTGTGACAAGCCTTTGGCAATTTAGTGAGACCTCATCTCAAACGCATCTATTTTGAGAGAGCTGGTTCTCTCCACCATGTTGGTTCTGGGCATGGAGCTCAGATCATCAAGCTTTGTGACAAAGGCCATCACCCAGTGAACCATCTTGCCTGTCCTTTATTTTTGTTTTTAGTTGGGATTTTCTGTCATTTAGGCTCAGGTTGGCTTCCAATTTCACATGAAGCAGAGGCTAGTTCTGAGTACCTGCTCTTCCAGTTCTGATACAGGCATTCATCACCATGCCAGGACAGGACCAAGTCAAAGCCTGAGACTGTCTTTGTCAGTACTTTCTTCTGTCCCTTCCAGGCATCTTTCTCTACCGGCAGAATATGAGAAGGGGAAGTCCCTACTCTAATCTTTAAAGCCCCAGGACACATGTGGCTTGTGTGAACTTGGTGACCAATCAGCTGAAATGACCCACTTTGGCAGAATTCAGCAGATACCTTTGACTGCCATAGAAAACATCATGCTTGACCCCATTCTGCCACTTTCTGGGAAGTGGGATTACATTTCCCCTCCGAGGGTAACCAGAACTAGAGGCCAGGCATTTCAGGGGCTCTCCTGTCAGCAATACTGTGTCTATTTGGACTGCAATTCAGGTTAACTATTCTCTTGTTTGGTTAAATAGGAACTCTGTTTGGCTCTTGTTAGTGCTGACTTGGTGCCTAGCACTTCCTGACAGTCTAGTCCTTTTACCTTGGGGGTGGGGGTGGGCATGGTTAGAGTTCCTGAAGCCACAGCCGGACAAGTCCCTGCCAATGCCCTTCATGTGGCATTGCCCCGGTGAAAGGCATGGCGTCCCTTCTCTCCACAGAGACCGATCACTTAGGGCTGGACAGCTTCAAAAAGGCAATTAGCATAATGTAAGGAAGCCTCAGAAGCTGAAGGGGCTATAATTCGAATTACACTGTAAATGGTATGAATTGGGGGCAATGAAAAGGAATGATTATTAGGTGGGCATTTTAAAGTCGTTTTCCGAAAGCACCAGGTGTGTTTCCTTTTCCTCCCGGGGTGAGGGACACTGTAGAAGCTCTTCTAGAAAAGAGGTGCAAAGGAGACGATTACGTGTAGTTTACTGGAAGCACAAAGAACAGCTTGATGCTGAGAGCATGGCTGGCTGGATGCCAGGAGACATCCCAGGGGAATGGTGCTGCCAGCACCTGACACACAGAGAGCTGACCAAGCCCTTTCCTTAATGCTGACTGCCGGCTCCAAAGTTCTATCAGAGGGCTACGTTGAAAGGCCCAGTACACTTTAAAACAATCATGGTGACTCTAGAGCAATCTGAATTCTAAGAAACTAGTAGAAGGGACATAGAGCGATATAGGTATATCCATCAGCTTTGGGCAGAATGACTGGGTTGGGTGGGGCCTGCCTTGAGACAGTGCCATGTGACACCATCCTCTCTGTGCCTTTGAAATGAGCAGTTTGAACCTAAACATTCCCAAATGCTTCCTAGACACTTCTTGGGGAAGGCGGGGATATAAAAAGCACATCATTTTGGCCAGAAAATTTAGGTTTGATGATACTTTTGTAATCTGGGGGGGGGTGGCACACGTCTTTAATCCCAGCACTCAGGAGGCAGAGGCAGGCAGATCTCTGTGAATTCAAGGCCCGCCTGATCTACAAAGGGAATTCCAGGACAGCCAGGGCTACATGGGAAAAACCCTGTCTCAAAAAACACCACCACCCCTCAAAAGAAAACCATTATTTTGTGCAGCCAGGACTGAAAGTCAGAGGCTAAGGTGGGTGGGTGTGCAGGACAAGGAGAAAGGTATTCCAGATATTTTGCTAACTAATCCTCAGTGGTTGTTTTACTAATGTGAAATCTTAGATCAGAAAAGCAGGGTCCAAAGAGGCAGAACCTGGTGGTGACAGAGAGAGGCTAGAAGCCTGGTGTGTTCACTCCTCGGCTGGCCACTGATTCACTACAGCATTTGAAGAGGTTTGGCAAAGGAAACCACAGAGCAGTTGGTGCGGAACAGACAGGTGGGGCTGTGACTCAGTGCAGTGCCTTGCCCATGCTAAAACAGCACATCCATTCTGTTTCCCAATCAGCCCTTAATTTTTAATCTTTCCTTCGGAAATTTGATGCTAGAGAGTAGGCATGGGGGAGGGGTGACATCTCACAGATGTCCTCTAAGCAATTAACTATCTGTAGGCTTTTATGACAGGATGCATTCTGCACAAGCCTCAAGGCCTTCTAGGCGGTGTCAGCTGCTGCAGTCACGTGTTCCCAAGGCACAGCAGTCATTTGTCTTCTCCATAGCAACCGGAGACCCAAGGATTTTACTAGGATGCAGTCTGTGGACCACATGAGCCACAAAGACTTCTGCCCTTCAAAACAAGCTGTTTGATGCCGTTTAAAGTAATAAGGAGAGGACCCTGGTAACTAGCGTAATACAGACTGTAATAACAGGGTGTGCCTGGGGCGTGGCCTCGGGTCTTTAATTACTTTCTCCTCACCTGTATTATTGTCCTACACTCTACTAGACACACCGTCGCCTCAGCTCTGGAGCAGTCGCTGCAGGGATTTGTCTGTCCTTTGAGAACATGCGTTCAAAGCATATAAACCACACAAGTGGGGACTTTCCATGAAAAACCTTTTATTTTCTGTGTATGAGTGTTTAGCCTGCCTGCATGTATGTGCCTTATGTGTATACAAGGTGCCTGAGGAAGCCAGAAGGCAACATCGGATCCCCTGGAACTGTAGTTGCCTTGGTGAGCCACCATATGGGCGCTGGGAATTGAACCCAGGTCCTCTGAAAGAGCGGCCAATGCTCCTGAGCACTGAGCCCAGAGCACTGTCTCCTATTGGCTCTTGACAGATTACTGGTAGCAGCACGCAGACTACCTTAGGCATCTCTGTTCTGTCTTGTCGTCCCTCTCTACTCCCCCTCTCCACACCCAGTAGGAGTTATAGGCAGCTGGAAATCTCCTGCTCTGGTGCTGGGAACCAAACTCTGACCCTGGAACATCAAGTGCTTTTAACAGCTAAGCCCTTCTCTCCAACCTCAGATACACTAGTTTGCTTCAAACCAAGTTTCTAATTCTTCTATGTATTTGAAAAGAATTTATCAATATTATTACTGTTATAGTACACGAATGCATGTGTGTGTGTGCGTGCATGTGTGTGTGTGTGTGTGTGTGTGTGAGAGAGTGTGTGTGATACCAGAGATTGAGCCTAGGGCCTCATAAGTGTTAGGCTGTTGTTACTACTTTTTAAACTACATTTTGTTTTTTGAAGCAGACTCTCACACTGTAGCCTAGGCTGGCCTGGAACTCATGACACTTTCTGGAGTTGTCCTGACACCTCCAACCTCTGGAAGGCACTATATACCATCCAAAAGAAATGTGTGCTTTAGCCAGGCGTTGGTGGCTAAAAAACAAAGCAAAACAAAACAAACAAAAAAAAAGAAATGTGTGCTTTACCTATTTTCTATGTTTCTGTCATTTTTGTGTGTGTGTGGTTTTTTTTTTTTTTTTTTTTTTTTTTTGGTTTTTTGAGACAGGGTTTCTCTGTGGCTTTGGAGGCTGTCCTGGAACTCGCTCCGTAGACTAGGCTGGCCTCGAACTCACAGAGATCCACCTGCCTCTGCCTCCCTAGTGCTGGGATTAAAGGCGTGCTCCACCAACGCCCAGCCATTTTTGTGTTTTTGTTTTTGTTTTTCAAGACAAGGTTTCTCTATATTGTTTTGGGGGCTGTCCTGGAACTCTCTCTGTTGACCAGGCTGGCTTTGAACTCACAGAGATCTGCCTGCCTCTGCCTTCCAAATGCTGGGATTAAAGGCGTATGCCACCAACACCTGGCTCATTTTTGTATTTTTGAGATAGAGTCTCACCATATAACTCAGGTTGGTCTAACATTTTGGGTATTGGAACCTAGACAAGAGAAGGTGAGCCATTTACTCAGTGATGCAGAGATAGCTCTCTGGAATAGCCAGGACTGGAGTGTAGTCGAGTTCCTGAATTTATGACTTAAAGATGTATAAATTATAGTTCCTACACTCAATAAATGTATAATCTAGCTGAGGGAAACTTGACTAACCTGCATTTTAAGAAGCCCAGTAAATTATGCAACATAAGCATATATAATTAAGTGCTAAATTAGATGTTGTCAACTATGAATTCTTCAGGAGGACATGGAGGTGTGGACCAGGAAAACAAGGTCTGTGGAGGAATGATCTGGGTGATCTCTGAGATAACCATGAAGAAAGTGCTAGAAGCAGGAGTGAACAGGACCTTGTCCTAGAGGATGAAGCAGCCATCCTGCCACAGCTTGGTGAAGCTCCTGGGACTGGCCTGTCCAGCTTCAAAGGCCTTTAAGGCAGAGTTTAAGTTTACAGCATAACAAGAAAACAGTCATTAAAGGCCATGGATCAATGGGGCGATATAACAGAAGATGTCTAAAGAGGATGTGTTTGTCTGCTAGTTTGGGTGGCTCAGATCTGTAATCCTAGCTCTTGGGAGGCTGACTCAGGAGGATGGCTGCAAATGAAGGCCAGCCTGAAACCACAGAGTGAGGGAAAAGGGAAGGCCCTCAAGGGGTGACACACGAGCTGGGCTCTGACACAATTGGCTTTCTTAGTGAAAGCCGTCATCTTGGCAAAGGCACTGAGGCTGCTGTAAGAGAGAATCCTGGATGCCAGGCTGAACTCAAAAAGAGCAACTTGTTGGTGAGGGCCCAGAAAGAGGGGGAAAGCCACCTAAATACAAATAATTGAGTTTAGGGAGAAGACCTCAGCCAGAAAAGTGTTTATTTATTACAGTGTGTGTGTGTGTGTGTGTGTGTGTGTGGTGCAGGCATGTGCACCACACAGCGCACGTTTAGAGGTCATAGGGCAACTACATCTTGAGTCCTCTGGGCCCTACGTAATTATCCGTTCTGGTTAAAGTTTACCACCACACCATACCTTTATGTGGTACTTTTTTGCGGGGGTGGCTAATGATGTGGAGACTTACTATTAACTCTGAAAGCTCAGTCTACAGCTTCGGCTTGTCCATTAGCTCCTGTAACTTAACCCATTTATATTAATCTATGTGCTTCCGCATGGCTCCTGGCTTTTGCCTCTCCTCCTGCACATCCTGCTTCCTCTGCATCCGGCTGGTGACTCCGCCTTTTTTCTTCTCAGAGCTCTCTCTGTTCCCAGAAGTCCTGCCTAACCTTCTCCTGCCTAGCTATTGACCATTCAGGCCTTTATTAAACCAATCACAATGACAAATCTTCACACAGTGTAAAAGAATATTCTTTCTGGGCAGTGGTGGTACCTGCCTTTAATCCCAGCACTAAGGAGGCAGAGGCAGGTAGATCTCTATGAGTTCCAGGACAGCCAGGTTTATGTAGAGCATTCCAGGTTAGCCAGAGTTACAAAGTGAAACCTTATCTCATAAACAATTTTTTATTATTTTTTTTATGTGTGTGGCATTTTGTGTGTGTGCCAGTGTGAGTGTTTGTGTGTGGGGGGGTCAGAGGACAACTTGTGTTTTATCCTTCCATCATGTGGGTTCTAGGCATGGAACTCAGGTCTCAGAGGCAAATGACCTTACCCACTGAACGAGCTTGTGGTTTTTTTGTTTTTTGTTTTTTGTTTTGTTTTTTTGGTTTTTCGAGACAGGGTTTCTCTGTGGCTTTGGAGGCTGTCCTGGAACTCGCTCGTTAGACCAGGCTGGCCTCGAACTCACAGAGATCCGCCTGCCTCTGCCTCCCTAGTGCTGGGATTAAAGGCGTGCGCCACCAACGCCAGGCTCGAGCTTGTGTGTTTGAGACTAGCTAAGTGCTTGTCTAGCAGTACAGTCCCTCCGTTAGATCCTCAGCCGAATAAAACTGGGCATGGTGTACACACTCCTAGTCCAAGGGCACCTTCAGCCGCAGAGTGCAGGAGGCCCTGCTGAAACAGAGCAGAGAATGGAAGGGAGAGAAGGGGGGAGGGTGTGCCCACCTGCCCCCTCTTGGGTGCTTGCAGAAAAAACAAAGGTCACAGCATAGAGTATCATTTAACAATAGTCCCATAGCTTGTCCAGGCATTGGTTTCACAGTGTTGAGGATAAGAAAATTCAGACTTCCTGGAGCTTTTTACAAAAAGAACCAAAGAAGGCAGGGACCAGATTGGAAGCTGCTGGGGATATTTCTGGCATCTGTTGACGAGGATGAGGGGCTCCAATTCCAAGGGCATGACGACAGGGTCAACCCCATCTCTTCTCCCTGTTCTTGGCAACAGTCAGTCAAGCCAGAAAGAGCAATCTGTCAAATCTAATTAGAGGAGAAGAAAGTGAACAATGGATGCCCAGCTTTTAACTGACAGCCCTGTTTAATGAGGTGGAGGAGCTCAGGGGAGGATGTGTGTCTCCTGTGCTTGGAAATGGGTCCTTCAGATCAATTCTTCCCTTCACTCAAAGTGTAAAACATCTCTAACTGGATTCTTACTTACTTCACCCGAAATCTCCAGGTGTCTTCGCTTTTTTAAATTCATGCTCACCCAGCAAAGGCAGAAGAGAACGTGGGTCTGTTTCAAAGGTGAGGCTGATACAGTGACACTGCGAGTCGCTTGGATGCGGCAATGGGTGCATGCTGCTGGTGTTATGAGTGGGTTCTCATTTCTTTTCTGTATTCGGTTATACCAGTGACATCAGCATTTCTCTGTCTTTGAAGTCCTTTTAACACAAGGCTTACGATTCAGTTGCTTAAATTCCGGAACCATCTGAAGTTTTATTAGTCATGAGTAAACACATTGTAAGATACAAGCATATTTAATTATGTTTTTGATTTGTACTTTAAATGGACTCTCTCATCTGGGTGATTTATCTCTTGTATAAAGTGGGTTTCATGGGGAAGAGAGACCTATTTTTTTTTTAATTCAGTTGAGTGTGTTTCTTAAAATTAATAGATAAGCTAGACTATGAATGCTTAAATCGTGCATTTGCACAAGCTAACATTTCAAGTATGCAAAGCCTAACTGTTAAGCTAATATACCGAATTCCAATGCTTTATTAATTTAACGTGGCCTTGGTGTGGGCATTTAGTAACGAACAAGGTATAGTCTTAGTGGGAGGCATTTAGATATCTTAAAGGTAAAAGCAAACTTTCTGTGAGGAGGAAGAGAAAGGAAGAGGGTGAGTAACTCGGCTGGAATTCCCCTGTCCCCGTTGCCTTTGATGTTCATTTATTTCCTCATTTAGTTGTCACAGCACTCGGTGGTGTGTATTTCTATTGTCTCCACTCAGTAGGACACAGAGAAATGCAGTCAGGCCACCTTCCAGTTCAGGCTGGTCTACTTTCAAGAGCTGAGAATGTCAGAGCTCCTCCAGTAGAGATAAGAAAAATTAAATATTAAAAACCATTGAATTCATAATAAGATGTTAATCCGACATCTGTCTTCCAGTCTGTCGGTCTCTATGGATACGGATGAGGCAGAGGCTTTTAGCCTGATGCGTTCACCCCATTTCCTTTACTGCACGTGGGTGATCTTTTATATTCTTTTTAAAAATGTTTATTAGATTTATTTAGATGTTTTATCTTCTGACCGCTCCCTCACCCCATCCTTCGTTCCTTTTCTTTTACACACCCATTAGGCTAATATTCTCCAGCCTGGTCCCATGCCCGGAGAGGCACTCTCATCCACAGTTCTCCTTCGGCGGCCGGTGGTCAAGGGTGCGTCTTTGTTTCGTGTGACTCTTGGAAGCAGAAATGGTTCCACGCTGTAGTTTCTGTTTGACTTGCTGCTCTTCCGTGCCTCCTGGAGCTCCTTTCACCGGGATGTTTGCATCTCATTCCTTTCAGCCGACGTCCAGGGGGTCAGTGGCCACCGTCACTTGTTTTTACTCAGCCTCACGCCTGCGCTCCTGAAACAACCCCATGGCACAAGTCAACACCTAGCTGGGTTTGTATTCACAGGGCAGGTTGAAACAGGCATCGGCTTTATGGCTGACTGGAGTGTTACTAACAACATATAAGAACTGAGGAAAAGTAGCTGGGGGCCCATCTCGGCACCCTAAGTCCCAGACACTGTGTTCTCAGTGAATTCGTTATCCGTCTGCCTCCCAATAGTTAACCCACCACTCTACAGTCATTTATTCCTTATATGTGAGATGTTAGTAGTAGACTCTCAGTGGTGTTGTGAAGACTAGGTGAAAGAGCACAGGAAAAGATCGGCCAGCGGGTGGACCGAGTTACACTCGCACTTCCCTCGAGATGGTCTTTCAGATGAAGTGCTTCAGGTGTAGCTCAAAGAAGGGTGGTTGCTGAATGGGGCGGTGGGTGTGACTAGCAGCCCAGAAGCCCTAGAACCTTGGGGTTACTGGTGGTGCACACCAGTAACCCCAAGCCCTTGGGAGACTGAAGAAGCCAGCTTGTCCTGTCTAAAATAAACAAAACACAGCAGCAAGCAACAAAACAAAAACCGGCAACAACAACAAACTGAATTGAAGGCCCTGCGGAGTGGCAGCTGGGTGACTGTTGATTGGGGGACTATTGTAACTTGCTCAATGTTAGTCACATACAAAATAAGGGTAGCAGTCATGTGTAGCCTCTTCCAAGTGCCACCTCATTCAGTCCTCACAGCTGTACCCTGTGAAGTGGACAGGGTTTGTAAATGAGAGAATAAAGGAATGGAAAGTACTTGGTATATTTTTGGTATAAATGATGTATGTGGTGTTACACTATGCAGACAGTATGATCTGAACTCAGAATTTAGAGTACCGTCACCATCCCTTGAATGCTTTTGTTAGTTGCTTTATTTCAAGTAGCTGAGGCTGTCTTTGAACTCCTTATCCTCCTACTTCAGAGTGCTGTGAATATAAGTGTGTGCCATCACACCTGGTTAATGCATTTTTTTTTTTTTTGCAAAGCATGAATTCCCTGGATGCCTACTGCCTGTCTAATGCCCTGCTGTATATGTGCAAAATATAAAGTGCAAAATGGAGATCTTATCCTCAAAATTATGATTTTGATTTTTAAATTGAAGTTCTCTGAAATATAAGGTAGCATATTTGGGGTATTTTGAACCCCACAGTTGAAATCTCTGCTAGAGACCCACTGTAGAGGTAACTGATGTCAGCCAACACGGGCAGGATTATGAACATTCACGCCCAGTATCTGTTTAAATTTTCTTTTAACTACAAAGGTAAATACAAGCCGGTGACATCTGCTCCCTGTTCTGGGTGGGTCTCACAGGTGAAAGAGGCCTTTGCAGGGTCTCTCCTGGGCTAACCAGGCTGGTCACAGGGGCTGCCTGAGGCTGGGGCAGCTGTGCCACTGTGACTTAAGCTCCTCCAGCAGCATGCGAATTTCCTTTTGTTCTGAACACAATGCAAGCAGATATTTAGCAGGCAGAGGAAATCCAGGAAGAATTCTGTTAAGGAGCCGAACTATTCATGCAAAGAGCCTGATTTGGGGATAATATTCAGGAAATAAACCTGTATTGCTTCTAAGTCATCTGCTTATTCCTCTCATCCCAGAGATCTCTCTCTCTCTCTAACTCACAGAGCCTGTTTTCTGGGTGTTTGGGAACACATTCCAGCCAGCCCCAAACTGAAATTCCAATTCGACAAAAAAAAAAAAAAAAAAAAAAAACACTCCAGCTGTCAAGAGCTGAAGAAGCCACATGTGAATTTTGGTCTGGGAATCAGTCAGGCCGCAGATGGGCTGGGAGTCTGGGGAATGTGATGACTCTAATTCAGGAGGCCTGCGCCAGCCCCTTTGCCTCAATTCCAGGCTTAGCTCAGAGAGAAGCAATTCAGAATGCTTTTCTTTTAAAGGGACAGTGTTAAATTTTTCATTTTGTTTTGTCTTTTGGTTTTGTGTGTCATTTATTTGAGGTACTAGAACTTGGAACCTGGTGCTGCATAGCAAGCCCCTCCCTGCCTTTATTCCTAGACAGGGTTTCTCTGTGCAGCCCTGGCTGTCCTGGAACTGGCTCTGTAGACCGGGCTGGCCTCAGACTCAGAGATCCACCTGCCTCTACCTCCCCAATGCTGGGACTCAACGTGTGCACCACCACCGCCCGGCTGGGAGACAGTTCTGTATTTGAGTCTGGGTCAGGGATGGCGGGGCTGTAAGATTTCCCATCTTGAGACTGATGCAGCAACAATAAAGGACCAAGAGGGGGAAATCCCTGGCCTGACTGGAGACCTAACGTTTCTGTCGGGTGAGCCAGTGGCCTGGCTCCAGAACCACCTCTGGGAAGGCAGATCACCTGAATAACTAATTATCCCTTTAGTGAGACAGTGTGCCTTTCCTTCCCAGGGTCCCCACCCCAGCATGGTAGTCTGCAGGGCTGCACCCATGCAGTTTCATGAGCTTGAATGAACACTCTACCACTCAGCGTGTGGTAATGGCAGGCCCTGCCCTTCTCCCCATTTCCCTCTGCCTTGCTAAAAACCATTAGGTTGCATTCCTAAAGCTAGCAGGGTTTATTTGTTCCCTTATTTGACCTGTCCCTCCCCCTGAGGCTGACTACCAAGGTCCAGCTATCAAAGTATTAAAGTCCAGCAATCAAGAGACTGATTTGGCTCACCTAATTAACATGCCAAATTAAAATTAAACACCTCATCCTAACACAGGGGTATCCCTTCCTTTATAAACCGTCATTTTCCTAGGAGCCATGCCTGTTTCCTCTCTATTCAGTGGCAGTCCTTAGTCTCCCTCCAGGACAAATACCCTCACCCTTTCCATGGTTCCTTTCTTTCTTTCATTCTTTTTTTTTCTTTCAGAGTTTTACTTGCTGCAGTGCCCCAGCCCTGCAAACTGCTGCACTAGGGAGATTTTTAAAGAACCACTAAATTACGGCATCTGTCTCTTTATTGCGGCCTAAGGTGGGGTCTATCTGGGATGTTAGGCCTCCACCTAGGCCAGAGATTTCACCATTATTTTTTTACTCTGACACCCATATCATACACAAACAATAACAATAAACAAAATTCAAAAGAAATTAAAAATCCCCGTTTCAAAAAAGAAAGTAATTGGGTGGTGTAGGATCCCCACCCATTCTGCAGCTGGCAGAGCTCTTCCTTGTGTGACAGGTTTTCTCTGAGGTTTAGGCTCGGGCACTCCTGCTCAACGCAGTGACTTTGCAAATGAGAAAAGGCGAGGGTGTCATGACTGCAGGACGCCTTTCTCTCCCAAGGCAGCTTCGTGTTAGGACTGCCTCTTCCTGAAGGTGAGCTTGAGATTTATTTCATGTTAAGCAGAAAGGACACGGTTAGGAAAATGTGCCTGTTCAAGGGTAGGAGTGGAGCGGATTGATTGAATGGAAAGCACTGCTGAAGGAGAAAAGCAAAACTCACAGCCGGTTAGAACTCTAAATATAGTTAGACCCTGCTTTTCACAGGTTTCAGGGCTCCCGAAGATTCGGGGCTCAGACCAGTATCAGTGAGGAATTCATTTTGCTTTCCTCCTCCCAAGAGATGAAAGCAGCTTGTGGAGGAGGAGGGGGGAGGAGGAACAGGTGAGAGGGGGGAGGGGGAGAAGGAGAGGAGAGCTCCAGATTTCTTTTTTTTTTTTTTTCCATTCAGGGATTTTCTGTGTAGCCCTGACTGTCCTGGAACTCGATCTGTAGACCAGCAGGCTGGCATGGAACTCGCTCAGTAGATCAGGCTGGCATGGAAGAGACTCTACTCAACAACAAAGAAAAGGCAGCGCCCCTCCCCCTCTCAGAGAAGGGCTCCGCTTTGTGTGAGCCGACTTCCTCTGGGGACTCCTCCAGGGAGTCTCAAGCCTGGTCCCTGCCTTAGTTTAGTAACCCTTGGTTCAGTAGTCCAGGGTCAAGCCGGGAGATGTGTGCCTGCATTGTATCCAAGTTTTCAGCTACTCTGTTCTTGTATCTACTCCCTGAAGGACACTTACAATGGAGTGACAGGGAGGCATCCCTCCTTCCCCTCTGCAGATAAACAAATGTCAAACAGCTTCCTGGGTCTGCACTATTCACTAAAAGTTACTAAATATCCCCCTTTGTCCTCCAAACAAAGAGCTCCTGGTATTCTTCTGGTTGGATTCGGATTGCCGCAGCCCAGACGCTCACCTACCGGGCGGACTAACCAAACCTTCTTTCTCTTGCTGTTGGGTTCCTAACGAGTTTTCTGGCACTCCTGTTGTGAACGAGAGACTATAATGAATGCTTCCCAATGTTAAGGGAAACACAACCTTCATTCAAACAGGGAACCTGCAAACAGCGTCATTCCTTTTATTTCTCCCTTTTATCTATTTATTATTATTTTGCTTTGTTTTCTGAGACAGGGTTTCTCTGTGGCTTTGGAGGCTGTCCTGGAACTACTTCTTGTAGACCAGGATGGTTATTTCTCCCTTTTAAATGGGCTTCTTTCCTTTTATTAAATTTGTTCTTTAACCGTTTCAAACATCTGGGCATGGTAGCACATGCCTTTGATCCCAGCACTCCGGAGGCAGAGACAGATGGATAAATCTGTGTGAATTCAACCCCAGCCTGCTCTCCACATTGAGTTCCAAGCCAGCCAGTGTTACTGGATGAAACCCTGTCTCAAACAAAACCAGTGCATTCCGATTACGGGTTAAACCCACCCTCTCTATTTCCCTCCAGTCCCCAGAACCCCCTCCATTCAGATCTCATTCTCACACTTAGGTCTTTTGGCTCTGTTTTGTGGCCCACTGAGTTAACCAGGGCTGCCTTTGTGACCACAAACCTTTGCTACTTTTCATTGGAGCGTGGTGGACTGCTTGGCTACACTACTAAAGACAATGCCTGCCCCTCCCCCAGACTGCATCTGTGGCTCAGAGTTCAGCAGGGAAGTATGGCCTCAAGGGCCTTCCGGATCTCGGATGTTTTTCTGACAGCCCTGGTCAGCTGCATAATTTCAGGTACAAGTGTTCTGAAAGCGCCCATCTGTGGGTCCTCATTCTCTTACTGGAAGTAAAACGAAGTTGTGTGAGATCCTAAAACTAGCAATGGCTGTGAGTAGAAGGCACCTGCTTAATGAAGGGCAGCATTGAAGGAGAAGCTGCATTTGGCATCAGCCTGCAGGGTTCCCGGCAACCAGGCAGGCTCAAGAGCAGACAGCAACCCGTCATCTTTCTGCGGGCTTCAGCCATAGGGGAAAAAGGTGGTACCACAATCCAGTCTTCCAGTGGATGCTGATGACGTGTTCTAAGGAGATGAGTGCAGGGGCTCCTGTCAAATGAGTGAGGAGAGAACGGAAGTGGGGAGAGGAGGCGGGACTTCAGAAACCTCACCGCAATGTCCCTAGAATAAAAATGACAGGCAGAAATGATTCTCGCATCCACTTTAAAATGCACCCCTGCTCATATTTAATAACCCCTTTTAATATTTGGCAAGTTCCATTAATGCAGGGTAAAATAAAATTAAAGCAGACCCCTATCCATTCTCCCCTAGAGTTGTCTAAAATGACAGTGTTATCATAAAAATCAAACCTATCCTTTTTAGCTGTTGGAAGCATTAAAGCCCTCAGGGACATTGCCTTCCCAAACTATAGCAGGCATCAGCTTTCTCTTCCCGGCTCAAGGCCGGCTCCGGCTAAGTACATAGCTCTTCTTGCTTAGGGAAGAATGAGCTCTCTGGAATGTGCAGGGTCCACGCCCTGAAGGCAGCTGCCCGGCTCGGTGCTCTTTGCCACCGTGACCAGCAGGCGGCGCTGTCTGAACGCTGCGGCCATCGCCCCGCGTCCATGGAAGCCATTTTCGTCGCCCCGGGTGAACCCGCCGCTGCCAAGCCTTGGGAGTCACTGGGCCCATTCGCTTTAGTTTCTGAAACATTCTGCCTTTTAAAAAAATATTTTTCATTTCTTTAGCGTTTCATACATTTATACTTCGTGTATTGATCATATCTATCCACCACTACCGCACTCACATTTTTATTTATTTACTTATGTGTGAGCCCTGGGCCTTGTGCACAGTAGCCAAGGATTCTAGCACTGGGCCGTATTCCCAGCCCCAATGTGCTCTCATGACAATTGCTAGCATTTGAAAACCTGGGTAAGTCAAATGGTTTCGTGGACAGAGTGCTTACAGCGCAAGCCCTGCTAATTGAGACTGATTCCTGGAACACACTTGCCTTCCATGTGTGCTCCCACTCAGGTAGGTAGGCAGGTAGACAGACAGACAGACCACAGACAGGCAGTAGATAAAAAGTTGCCTGGGGCTTTTCAGAAAGCCGGGGCTGAGCAGCGTAGATGTGTAGATGGCTCACTGGTCTTGCTGGCGACCAGGTTTGGTTCCCAGCACACGCATCCACGGGGCTCACAACTACCTGTGCCTCCAGTTCTAAGAGATCAGCTGCCTTTTGGCCTCTGCAAGTACCTGCACAGAGGTGGTGCACATAAACTCACACAGCTCCGTACACATGAATAAAAGTAAATAGATCCCCCTTCTATCTTATTTATTTATTTATTTGAGACAGGGTTTCTCTGTATTGTTTTGGAGGCTGTCCTGGAACTAGCTCTTGTAGACCAGGCTGGCCTCAAACTCAGAGATCCTCTGCCTCCCGAGTGCTGGGATTAAGGGCATGTGCCACCATCGCCTGGCTGCATTTATATTTTTAAAGACATCAACTTTAATTCCACTAATTCTAATAAAAAAGGACCTCTGACAAAAAAAAAAGAAAATATATGTTGAAAATTAGAGTTGTTTTTTTTTTCTAAGTCTCCTTCCTGTTTTGTTTGTTTCCAGCCTTCTCCATGCCTGGCTTGCACAAGACCTCGAGAAAATTCAGCTGTGCTGCCATCTGCTGGACGTTTGGAGACGCCACAAGAGCCTGCAGGTTGAATAAGGTGTCTAGGTGGGCAGTGAAGACCTAGCTTTTCACCCAGAAAATAGCATCAAGACAGTATTCACATGCAGTTTGCTCATCCAAAAACAAGCAAACCCACTGGCCCTTTGGGAGAAAATAGTGTCTGTGTTGAAAAGCACTCGGATCTGAATGCTCTGGGATTGGTGATCACAGGAAAGTCCAGGGCTACAGTATGGAAAGAGGCAGAATTCTCTTCATTACACACATCCATGTTGGGCACCCACTGAAAACAAAAACCTTATTTTTCATCACTGCACGCAGGGGGCTATCAGCACAGAAGTTACAGCACCCTTATTCTCCTGCACAGACTGATTTTGCTGAATGGAAAAAATGTAAAGGAGTGGCAGAAATAACATCAGTCTGGGAGCTGGAAGGTGTTCAGATGTAGCCTTGGTGGGGTTTGAGTTTGTTTTCCAACCTCTCCAGTCAGTTCTAATTCACTTGAAGATTTTTCTATTTAGGAGCCACAGACCCTTTTCACACCAGGGCCTAAACACATTTGCAAACACATTTATAGTTGTGCTTTCAAATAAATAATGTTTATTCGAAGTCCGTTCAACATTGTTGCAATTCCTCTACAATGCCCATTCAGAAGCCTCTTGGGGAACTGGCCAGCGGCAGAATGAAGGTCAGAGTAGGACTGGCCCACCCACCTGGGAAAATCCGTTCAACTGCAGAAGCCTTAGTAATGGAAACACATTAACAAAACATAGCTCTGACCTCAAGGAGCCTCATGGATACTTTTAACAAAACGAGTTTCTGTATTCTGGAATGAGCTCTTACTGGTTTTCCTGGAAGAGATGAAATGACTTGATCAACGTGTGGCCTTCTGGAGGCTGGCTGATTACAAAACCCTTGGGGTCCATGTCAGGTGACTTCCATAGTCAATCAGTGTGTTCTAAGGGCATCCTACATTTCTTCAACAACTAAGTCCTCGAGGGGGAGACTGTCTGGTCCTACTGCTAAAAGCCTTAGCTTTCTCCAGGGGTGCTTGGAGAAGACACTTCAGCAACCAAGAAAACAGAATGAGAAATAAATAACAGTCCCTTAATAGCAAGTCCTAGATGGACTGTGTGTCAGAAAATGAAAAAGTCGAGTGTGGTTTTGTTGATTTGTTTGTATTTTAAAACTTTCTGTGTAGATCAGGGTAACCTCAGACTTGGAGCAACATTGCTTCATCTTCATATATATATATGATATATATATCATACATATGCACACATCTTGTCTAACCATATAAATTATGCACTGATACTCTCTTGTTTTTTTCTTTCTTTTTTATTTAAATTAGAAACAAGCTTGCTTCTCATGTCAATCCCAGCTCCCTCCCCCTCTCCTCCTTTCCCACCCCCCAGCCCCCCAATCCCCCAATCCTACTCCACAGGGAGGGTGAGGCCCTCCCTGGGGAATCTTCAAAGTCTATCATATGATCCTGGGCAGAGCCTAGGTCCTCCCCCATGTGTTCAGGCTGAGACAGCATCCCTCCATGTGGGATGGGCTCCCACTGATACTCTCTTGTATGGAGTCTCTATTCTAGCTATCAGTAAATGCATAATGAACTTGAAAGTGGCTCATTTTGTGGCCTGGGAGAAAGAGGGAGCAGCAAGAGGCAGCCAGAAAAATTGAAAGGGGGAAACTAGCACTGTCTCAGTTGATGGCAAGAAGTAATATAAGGAACAGAAACCCTCAGGGGCATTTAACTGTAGGTTGCCTAGGTGCCTTCTACATATGGGAATAAATACAATTATTAAATAAACTGCTAGCCAGGCGATGGTGGCGAATGCCTTTAATCCCAGCACATGGGAAGGCAGAGAGGCAGGCAGATTTCCGAGTTCAAGGCCAGCTTGGTCTACAGAATGGGTTCCAGAACAGTCAAGGCTACTCAGAGAAATTCTGTCTCAAAAAAATCAAAACAAATAAACACTGCTGTAAGTAGAGGAAGATTTGAACTTTAGAGTATGGTACACTTACTGGAATAATAATGTAGACAACTGAAAACTGTGACGTGTTTTTAATTTTTTTCAGCAGACTTTTACCCATGTGCCCTAAAGAGACAGGGAGCAAAGGGGTTTAATTGGTGCTTCGTGATGTTGGCCTCAATCCTAAAGCCTCCTTACATGTTTAGCAAGTTCTCCACCATTAAATTCTATCTCCAGATAGAATGGCTTTAAAAAAAGATTCATTTTATTATTTATTCATATATCAAATTCTCTAGAACCGGAGTTACAGACAGTTGTGAGCCACCATGTGGGTGATGGGAATTGAACCTAGGTCCTCTGGAAGTGTACCCAGTGCTCTTATCTGCTGAACCATACCTCCAGCCCCCAGGAGTGGTCCTTGATTCCAGGGAAGATGGCAAGTTTGAGGAAGAAAGGCTGGTCTACTGCATAGAGTAGAAACACAAGCACTGTTTCTGTCCCTATGAGGAGAGTTTGAAAAAGAGATACAGAGCTGATTAGAACTAAGCCAGATGATGTCTTGTTGGGAATAAATCATGAGATTTAAGGGATGAAAACTGATCGTATATGGATACTTCCCAGACTGGAGCTAGCAAAGCCAGACACGGTGGACAGGTTTATAATCCCAGCTTCCAGGGAGGCCAAGGCAGGGTTGTGGGTTATCCATCAGAGAAGACTGCTTGGACATGGATTTAGGACAATAGAAAGTATTTTTTAACTGCCAGGGCTGAGAGAGAGAGAGAGAGAGAGAGAGAGGGAGAAAGAACTCTGTATATCTAACTTCCCTCTCTCTCAACCTGTGGATCGAGACCTCTTTGAGGGTTGCATATCAGACATCCTGCATATCAGATGTTTACATTATGATTCATAACAGTAGCAAAGTTGCAGTTATCAAATAGCAACAAAATAATTTTATTAAAGGGTCTCAGGAAGGTTGTGGTGGTGCATACTTTTTTAATATTTTATTTATTTATTATATATACAACACTCTGCCTTCATGTATGCCCACAGGCCAGAAGAGGGCACCAGATCTCATTACAGATGGTTGTGAGCCACCATGTGGTTGCTGGGTATTGAACTCAGGACCTCTGGAAGAACAGCCAGTGCTCTTAACCTCTGAGCCATCTCTCCGGCCTGGTGGTGCATGATTTTAATTCCAGCACTGATCGCTGTGAGTTTGAATCCAGTCTGGAATATAAAGTGAGTTCCATACAGGACATCCAGGGCTACTAACGAGCAACTCTCTGTCACTGGGGCCTGGAGAGATGGCAAGTAGTTAAAAGGAGTGGCTGCTCTTGCAGAGGACTTAGGTTCTGTACCCAGCGTGACAGTTCATAACTGTCCTTGACTCCAGTTTCAAGGGACTACACTCTCTTTCTCCTCTAACAGCAATAACAAATGGTGCATACCCACAGACAAGCAAAACATTGACGCACATTTTCAAAAAGGGACTTCTGACAAAACAAGCAAAACTCTAACCCTCCCACAGGAAAGCTGGGGTGTGGTACAGTGGACAGAATACCTGTCAAGCTGGCACTGAGTCCCAGGTTTGATGCCTAGCGCAACATAAATCCGGTGTGGAGCGTATGTCTGTAATGCTAGCCTTTAGGTTATTAGGGGGATCAGCAGTTCAAGGCTATCCTCCACTATCTATATACTTTGAGGCCAACCTATAATATAGGAGACTTTATCAAAAAATCAAACAAATAAACAAACAAAAAACCCAACCCCAGCAAGGATATACTATTAGAACACAAGATATTGATTATATTTGGCTTGAGAGATGGCTCAGCATTTAAGAGCAATTGCTGCTTTTGTAAAAACCCAAGGTGCCTTCCCAGTACCAGCATTAGATGGTCCACAACTACTTTTAACTCCAGCTCTTGGGGAACTCTGATGCCCCTGGCCTCTGAGGACCCCTGCACTCATGAGCACACACCCACACACAGATATGTACATTTTAAAAACAAAACAAATCTTGGCCTGAGAGATGACTTGGGGTGAACAGCAGGAGCTGCTCTCCAGGGGGCATGGGTACAGCTCACATACCTGGCGACTTTAGTCCCAGGGGAGTCAACACCCTCTTCTGGCCTATGTAGGAACTGCAAGCACATGTATATCCCAACATACAAACACACACTCAGACACAGAGTTTGTAAAAAAATTTAAAATAAATCTTAAATCTCTTTTGTTATACTTTTTGTGGTATTTTGAGACAGGGTTTCTCTGTGTAGCCCTGGCTGTCCTGGAATTCCCTCTGTTGACCAGGCTGGCCTGGAACTCACAGAGATATCCCTGGGTCTGCCTCCTGAGTGCTGGGTTTAAAGGTGTGCGCCACCACTGTCCCGTGCTGAGTGTGAGTCTTAAAAGATTGGATGAGGCTGCCCCCACCCTTGCTCATGTGAACAGCAGGAGAGGGAAGACAGACATCCCAGAACCTCTGGGCTGGAAGACACCTCAGAGAGCAAGCTGCCGGTGCCCTCCGTTTGCTCCTGTGGCAGCGCGGGCGTAAAAGGAGCTCCTAGGGAAGCTGCAAAGGCCAAGTGGAAGAAGACAAGCAAGTCTCCCATCTCTGTAATAGCAAACAGGTTTATGGTAAGTTCTGGAAAATTTCAGCTACACAGTAAAATCAGCTAACTGTCCACCCAGGTTATTTTTATTTGAATGCACTACGAGGACTTTTCTTCCAACAGATTCCAGCAGGGGGCAGCAAACGTAAGGATGGATTGAAACGCTTACAATCATTTCACAGTAGAAGAGTACTTTAAAACAGTTTATTTAAAAGATTTATTTCTGCTGAGTGTTTTGCCTGCATGTATGTATGTGCGCCATGCATGCACCTATTTAACACAGTGGTCAGACGACGGGGTTGAATTCCCTGGAATTAGGGATGGTTGTGAGCCTTCATATGGGCTGGGATTTATTCCCTGGGTCCTCTGCAAGAGCAGCTAGTAATGAGAAATCTCTCCAGTCCCAAATTCAGCCTTAAAAGAAGAATTTCCACATGGCTAGACCTAGGTTTTTATCTTGTCAACCTTTAATCTTTTCCAGTGAGCCCCAGAAGCTGCCCTGTGATCTCACGTTTGAAAGGAGAGGAAAGGAAGGGAGAAGGGAGGGGACCGGAGGAAAGGCTGGGAAGGAAAGGGGTATGGTGGCACACTCCTGCAATCCCAGCACTTGGGAGGTGAGGGCAGCAGGGTAAAGGCCAGCATCAGCTATGTGAGACCCTGCCTCAAAAACAAAAAGGAAAAGTCATGCAGGTGTGGTGGCACACTCCTGTGACCCCAGCACTTGGGACACAGTGGTTTGAAAGAAAACGGTCCCAAAGGGAATGGCACTATTAGGAGGTGTGGCCTTGTTGGAGGAAGTGTCACTATGGAGGCGGCTTTGAGGTCTCATATATGCTTGAGCCATGCCCATTGATATAGATCACTTCCTGTTGCCTGCAAGTCAAGATGCATGTTGTCATGGCCCCCCATGACGATAATGCACTGAACCCCTGAATTGTAAATCGCCACCCAATTTAAATGCTTCCCCTATAAGAGTTGCCATTGCGACCAGAGACATGGCTCAGAGGTTAAGAGCACTGACTGCTCTTCCAGAGGTCCTGAGTTCAATTCCCAGCAGCCACAAATGGTGACTCACAACCATCTACAATTCACTCTGGTGCCCTCTTCTGATATGTAGGCAGAACAGTGTATATGTAACAAATAAATAAAAAAGCCGCCATAGTCACAGTGTCTCTTTACAACAACAGAAAATGTAATAAATAAATAAAAGAGCTGCCATAGTCGCAGTGTCTCTTTACAACAACAGAAACCCTAGGACAGAATGCCTATGTGGGTCAACATATCTCCACAGCCAGTTCAGGCCAGTGGTGTCTACATAGTGTGACCCTGCCTCAAAACAAAAGCAAGTCCTTAAGACCGCTCTGAGCAAAGTAACTGCCACGATGTCTTCCTGGGAGACACAAACCAAGGTCTGTTCAGCCCACAGAGGGCACCAGCACGACTAGGCTCGATTCCACCCAGCTCCAGCTTCTGAACCCGTGAGTTTATTGGCTTACTTACAGAAGCATGGGTGACCCCCAACAGCTGCAGCACTGATGCCCCACCCCCGCATGGGAGCCGGAAAGCTGAGTAGTGGCCATGAACCTTTTCTTCCCTGTACATGCTAATGCTTCCGGGGCCCAGGCGGCTAGTGCTTATCCCCTACAGGTGGGGGTGGTGCCCAGGAGGGTGTGTCACTGCAGTCTCTGGTGAGGGTCTTTGGGTGAGGGAATGCAAACCAGCCAGA